AGAGCGCGCGACGGGTGTTCAAAGTCGGACGAGTCCTGGTTCTGGGTGGTCGCCTGGTCGCCGCCCGTGAGCGGCTCGTACGCTGGCTGGCTTCGAGCTGTTTGTGTAAATGTGTACGCATACTTAGGTATATGTATGTATAGCACATGCACACATACATACAAACATACATACATAAATGCATACATACGTACACACATACGTGCATACATATATATGTGTATGTATATATACATGCATGCATGCGTGCATACTTACATGCATACACGCATACAAACATACATACGCACATGCATACATACATACATGCATGCATACATACATGCATACAACCATACATGCATGTATACATGCATACATACATACCTACGTGCATGCATATATACACATACATGCATACGTGCGTACAGAGATACACACATGCATCCATACATTCATACGTACACACATACGAACATCCATGCACACATACGAATTACATACACATATGCATACATAGATGCACATATATATATATATATATACATACCGTACTCAAACTACATATCTACATACATGCATACACGTACATGCATGCATGCACGTGTGTACATGCATGCATACATATGTACATGCATGCGTACATGCATACGTACATACATAGTGCATGCATAGACGTACATACATACATACGTACATACATACGTACCTACATGCGTGCATGCATACATACATACATAGATATATACATACATACATACATGCATGAATGCATGCATACATGCATGCACATATACATATATACATACATACATATATACATACATACATACATACATACATACATACATACATACATACACACACATACATACATACATACATACATGCATGCATGCATGCATGCATGCATACATACATACATACATACATACATACATACATACACACACACACATACACACATACAGGCATACACACATGCATGCATGCATGCATGCATGCATACAAACCTTACATATCTAAACATATACATGTACATATGTACATGTGTACATCCGCCATCGTGACTCTGGGCACGGAGTGGGCGCGTCATCAGGTCGTTGCCTGATCCCTGAAGCCTCAGTCCTCAGTCCTGAGGAGTCTTGCAGGGGCCCAGACCCCAAACTCCCAAATTTGGCAGGGCTCCCAGCGTGCCCCTTGGGACCCGTCGCGGATCGTCGCATGACTTTTTCGGGCCTAAGAGGGCCCGAATACGGGCCAAGAGTGCCCCACAAGGCCCCCAAGACGGTCCAAGAGGACCCCGAGTCACCGAAAGATCGTTCCAAGACGCCCAAGATGGCCTCTAGATGGCCAAAGAGGCCTCCAAGACGCAGCAAGAGTCCTCCCAAGAGGACCCAAAGAAGCAAAAACCTTTGATTTGTCTGAGAGAATGTTTGAAAGGTGTTGGCTGTCTCGCCTTCTCGGTATTCCGACGCTCCAAGACGGCCCAAGAGGCCTTCAAGAGGGCCCCAAGACGGCCTAAGAGCGCCCCAAGACGGCCCAAGAGGCGCCCAAGAGGGCCCCAACAGGTGCCCAAGAGAGGGAACACGAACCGAAAATCCAAGCCTTCCGCCCCTAGAGGCCCCCAGGAGGCCCCAAGAGGCGCCCAGGAGGCCCCAACAGGCCTCCAAGAGGCCACCAGGAGGCCCCAAAGAGGCCCCAAAGCGGCCCCCAAGAGGCCTCCAAACTGCATCCAAGAGGCCCCCGAGAGGCCTCCCACAAGATCCAGACGAATATCTAATTGAATCCATACGCACAACGCAGGCACGGTGGCAGAATGGGCCGAAGGCCACTACATCCGCCGCCACCTATTGATTCATCACAGGGGTGCCTGGCGCGCTGGACACTCTCGGTTTTGATTTTGGTTCTTTTTCCAAAAGAACTCCCCCTGGGGCTTCGGCGCGTCCCGCCAGCCACCTGAAAAGGATCTCAATCCCCAATGTTTCCTCCAAGACGGCTCAAGATGGCCTCCAAGATGGCCACCAAGATGGTCCAAGATGGCCTCCAAGTCCGCCCAAGATGATCCAAGACGGCCTCCAAGACGGCCCAAGAGAGTCCAAGATACCTCCAAGTTCGCCGAAATGGCCTCCAAGACGGCCCAAGATGGCTCCAGGATGGCCTAAGACTGGCCAAGAGGCCCCCAAGAGGCCTCCAAGACATACTCCAGGAAGGCCCGACAGGGCCAAAATCATTGATCTTCCTTAGGTGTTTGAAGGATTTTGGCATTTTCTTCTTATCAGCTCTCCGGCGGCCCAAGACGGCCCAAGAGGCCACCAACATCGTCCCAAGAGCGCCCAAGAGGCTTCCAAGATGGCGCCATGACAGCCCAAGAGGCCCCCAAGAGGGCGCCAAGAAGAGCCCAAGACGGCCCAAGATGAACCCGAAGACGCCGAAGATGGCCTCCAAGACGGCCAAGATGGCCTCCAAGATGCCTCCAAGACGGCCCAGAAGTCCCCCAAGACAGCGAAGATGGCCCCAAGACGGCACCCAAGACGGCCCAAGAGGCCTCCAAGACGCTCAAGATGGCCTCCAAGACGGCCAAGGAGCCCTCCAAGACGTCCTCCAAGAAGGCCCAAAAGGGTCAAAATGGCCTCCCGACTGCCAAGATGACCTTTAAGATGCCCACGTGTTCCCCGAAGGCTTTCCAAACCGATTCGGGGAACCGATTAAAGCGCCCTGTGGGGCCACGAAACGTGTGAGGGGAGCGCCGACATGGCGTGGACCAAGTATGCGAACCCAGCCGCTGGGGCCTTAGGTGGAGCTCCATGCGGGGCCACGAAACGGGGAGCGCCGGAATGGCCTGGACCAAGTATGCGAACCCAGCCACTGGGGCCTCAGGTGAAGCTCCCTATGGTGCCACGACAGGTGTGAGGGCTGCGCCGAAATGGCGTGGACCAAGTATGTGAATCCAGCCGCTGGGGCCTTAGGTGGAGCTCCCCATGGGGCCACGAACGTGTAGGGGGGCGCCAGAATGGACCTGCACTGGACCAGGTATATGAACCCAGCCGCTGGGGCCTTAGGTGGAGCACCCTATGGGGCCACGAAACGTGTGAGGGGTGCGCCGGAATGGCGTGGACCAAGTATGCGAATCCTGGACCTCCCTATGGGGCCACGAAAAGTGTGAAGGGTGCGTCGAAATGGCGTGGATCAAGTATGCGCACCCACAACACGTGTGAGCACTGCGCCAAAATGAACATGCGGAGGGCTGAGGCAGGGATGGGAGGAGGGAGAAGGAGGAGGAGCAGGAGGAGGAGAAGGATGGGGGAGGAGGAGAGGAGAAAGAGGAGGACGCGGGGCGATGCGTATTCAAAACGATGACCCAAATCAACACAGGATGGTTAGGACAATCAAGCAACAAATCTGCGAGCGTACTCCCTGAAATCATCGGAAACCGCTCGTTGTTGGCTATTATTTCAAACGAGACCATGCGGGCCACACGCGCATGTCGAAAACGTTCATTAACCATCGCTCGCCGGCCAACTCTGTCGAATGAGATACAATGCTGGACGCACGTACGCGTCCCCCCGCGTGCGTGCACCTCGAAACCCATCCATCACCACAGGTTCAAGCAAAATCAACACCGACGTGTTCAAACACATACGAACAGTGTACTGCTCATCAATAGCGCATGACAGAACTTAAAAGTTCTGCACGCGCGCACATCCTCATCACCCTCATCAGCAGAATCGTTACCATCATCGTCAGCGTCACTTTGCCCTGTTCATCGTCATCATCATTTGCATCGCTGTCGACATCCCCGGCGCCGTCATCATCGTTATCGTTGATGACGTCGCCCTCGTTAGATTTCTGCGCGCGCAATTCCTCAACATCATCACCAACACTAGCGCGATCATCATCGCCAGCATCAACGTTGCCACTGTCAGCATCACCACCAGCAGCGGCATCACCATCCCCATCGTCGTTGCCATCATCCACACCATCGTCATGAACATCATCATCATCGTCGCTGTCACCGCCCAACTTATGTTGCACCACATAATTTGAAACATATAGCTTACACCGCGTATCCTGCACTGCACGGATTGCACTGCATAGCTTGCACCCCTGAGATTGCATCACATAGAATGCATCGTATAGCTTGCACCACATACATTGCACCACACCGCCTTCACCACACAGCTCACACCACACATAGCAGACCACTTAGCTTGGGCCAAATACATTGCACCATACAACTCGTACACCTATACTGAACCATACAACTTGCACCACACATGTTGCTTCAGATCGCTGTTTCCTCATATAACATACGTGTATATACGTGTATATATATGTATGTATATACCTATATATCTATATATATATATATATATATATTGCACGGCCTAGCTGGCACTCGAACTATGACACCACAGAGTTTGCACCAACCAGCTGGCACTACATAGATTGCATAACGTAGATTGCACAAATTAGCTTGAACCACACATAATGCTTAGCATCGCTTCTTCCAGATAGCTTACACCGCATAGCTTACACGTCCAAAATGCAAGAACCCACTGTTTGGTGTCAACGCTGGCAAAACTGATTGCACCAGAAGAGAAACTGGTAAGAATGAAACTGGGTCGCACTCGAAAATCGAAATGCAAAGCGTACAGGGAAACATGTCAGCAAAAATGAACGTCCTGTGCAATGGCGTCGTTACAAAAGAAACGCGACAGGATGAACCGTTAGAAGGATAGTTCAACAAAATTGTAGAAGAAAGTCAGTGAACAATCGCAAAGTTACTAATCGCAGAGTCATGCGCAATGTATCCGAAAAGAGGAAAACATCTGGAAAAATGTCTTCCCAACAAAATGAGAAGGATCAAGGCCACAGGGTGCAAGATGAACGGAAAACCGAAAGGGTACAGGTCTAGCCGCGCATGGGATAACCTTGAAAAAAAGCAAACGGACAAGCACCACCAGAAATGGGCAGGGACAAGAGGTCATCCGATCGTGTTTGACAGTGGTCATGTTGTCGTGCTTCAAGACTTGATAAGCGACCCTCATGGCACACAAAGCGACCTGGTCATCATCATCATCATCATCATCATCATCATCATCATCATCAGCATCATCATCATCATCATCATCAGCATCATCAGCAGCAGCAGCATACTAATAATACTCAGCATCATCAGAAGCATCAGCATCATCATCACCACCACCACCATTATCATCACATCATCATCAGCAGCATCATCATCGTCATCATCAGCATCATCATCATCGCCACCATCATCATCATAACCAGCATCATCATCATCAGCAGCATCAGCATCATCACCACCATCAGCATCACAATCATCATCATCAGCATCATCATAGTCATCATCATCAGCATCATCATCACAATCATAGTCAGCATCATCAGCAGCAGCATCATCGTACTCGTCATCATGATCATCACCATCATCATTAGCATAATCATCATCACCACCACCATCATCATTATTATCAGCAGAATCATCATCACCACCACCATCATCATTATTATCAGCATCATCATCATCATCATCATCATCATCACCATTGCGTCAATCCTCCCCGATGGAGGCGGAGCAACATAAGCAATAGGTGGCGAAATTCGAATCCTAACTACCCACACCTCCCATCGATCAATGCGCCGAGTGTTCGGTGAATTCCGAACCCTACCCCCGCCGCCCATCGAGTTGTCTGAGCCGTGGACGGGCAAGGGTAGGGTTCGGATTTCGCCACCGTAACAAGGAGGGGGGGGGCGAGCTGGTGTAAGAAAGAGGAGGAGGAGGAGGATGAAGAGGAGGAGGAAGAAGAGGAGGAAGAGGAGGGAGGAGGAGGGAGGAGGAGGAGGAGGAAGAGGAGGAGGAGAAGCTAGAAGGGCCTCTAGAATGACAGGAGGGCGGCGCCTCGCCGGGGCAGGCGTTCCCAGCACGCCCAGCGTATGTACTTACAGGCGTTCCCTCCAAGAGGAGCCAAAGAGGCCCCTGGGAGGCCCTCGAGACGCCCCAAGAGGCCCCAAGACGGCTCCCAGGAGGCCTCCAAAAGGCCACCAAGAGGCCCCCGAGAGGCCCACCGCGACATCCCACCGAACATCCTAAAGGCCTGTGACCCGCAACCCAGGCACGGTGGCGGCATGGGCCGAAGGCAATTCGATACATTCAGCCGCTCCCCACCCCCAAGATCCTCACAACTCTTCGGCTACGCCACCTCCGTCCCACAGCATACGCCTGCACCGTAAGTTTGGCTCCGTCAGTCGCCCCACCCTCCCACCCCGCATCCTTGCTCAGAGGTTCTGACCATTGTTTCTGACCGTCGCCAAGAGTAACCAGCATCCTGCCCTCAACATAAGTCGCGCATGATCTCACGAGACCGCATTGAAAGAACACCCCTTCGCAACGCCATAACCCCTCACGCTGCCCCCCGCCTGGCACGTGCTTGCATCGTTCCTAGCTACTGCCTGTTCTAGCAGGTAGCAGTACCTCAAACTCAGCAACATCATTACATGCACCGCGCGTAACTCAAGCGTCTCATACGTAGCCGATGCCATAACATGTAACATAATGCGGAGTGCCCCAGAATGTCTGCCGCCTGCACGCTAAAATTGCACCTTACCCATCTTGTCTGTGCCGACATGTCCCGTCAGCGTAATCAGCGTAATCATTGCAGACTCAATCACACCAGCAATCTGGACGACAGGTGGCCTAGAGTCGGCTAACTACGGCCATCGCCCTGGTACTTACGATCCCTTCGAGGATGGATTTACCAACCCTGCCCCCCAACTAGTGGTCCTAACCACGGCGTACTGGAGGGTCCCAAGTCTTCGTTCCTTCGGCTCTGGGACCAAAAGACGGCTTCATCCAAAAGCATGTCTACACATGTCAGATGTGATATGTGCGTGCGAAGCCCAAGAACCAGTAGATGCCAAGAGACATCTAAAGCTCAAGAGGCCCCCTAGGCGAACAAAGACGCGCACAGGACGCACCCAATAAGCAGCCAAGACAAAACACAGGACAAATACAAGAGGCCCAAAAAACGGCTGCAGAGAATCCTGAGACGGTGCAGGAGGCCCCGAGAAGCCCCAATTGACTCCCCAATGTCGCGCCAAATTCCCTCAAGCGGGCCCCACACACCGAAAGAACTCCCAAGACTGCAGAAGACGCCCATAAGACGTCCGAGGGACAACACAACGAAGCTGGCTGAGTATGCGCGGATCTGACTGTGAGCGAACTGGAAGGTGAGCGAGTCCGAGTGTGAGAGATTCTGAATGTGAGTGAATTGTTGATGTGAGTGGTCAGTGTGTGAGTTGCGAGTCTGAGTACGGCTACGCTGAATATGAGTCGGCCTGGGCGTGAGTGAATCTCTTTGGAGGAGAGTTAGAGTATGGGACAGACTGAAAATGTTCTGAATATGAGGGAGTGTGAGAAGGGAAGGAGACGGAAGGTGAGGAGAAGGAAGCGTGACACGAATACCAAGAACCCCAATACTTCGGATACGGGAAATACGCGCAACTCTCGAGCCGGATCGTTCCGGATCGTTCCGTGCGGGTCGGATCGTTCCCGATCGTTCCATTTTCGCACCTGGCTGTTCGAGCCGGATCGTCACGTGCAGGCCTCCTGGGCAATCAATGTGGCAAAAGCGTCCGCCGTGATCTTCGACGACGCGCGGATGCCAGTGTCCTCCTGCCCCCGACGGACCGCCGGTGGAAGAGGGGGCAAAAAAGTACCGATGCTGCTACTCCACGGACCTTTCCTGGGGCGCGTCCTGACCAGGATTTCGAAGCGAATCCAGCCGTGGCGACGAGGGAAGGCGACTGGCATCGGAAGATTCTCCTCCCCCGATTCGGGCCACAATTCGGGCCTCGGGTGGCCGTTCGGGACGGTGCCGTGGTCCCCAGGAGCCCCTCGGCTCGACGAAGCGCAGAACAACACCCCGTGACCCGAACGATCGAATGGAGAGATCCCACGCCATGCAGCGCGACGGCAGCGGCAGCGTCGCAACTTACGTAGTGTCCAACCTGCAGTCGCCATGGTTCGCGCATCGCGCACGCCTTCCCACAGAATCTGGCCCCCCATGGAAACCGAAAACAGCCGGCAAATCCACACGCACCAAAACGCTTCTGGATCGGCAGCGCCAGCGGACGCGGGCGCGACGGTCGGGACCGGCGGGGAGCGCCGGGCGAGGGGCGCGCGGAGCGAGCGGAAAAGCAGAGAGCGGCCGCGGAGGAGGGAGGAGGCGGAGGCCCGACCGCCGAGTCGACGGGTGAGGGGCGCCCAGGCAGCCCCGGGCACCGAAGGCGGCGTGCGACAACTAGCGGAGCAGCGAGAGGGCCATGCCGTCGAAGCAAACGACGACCAGGCGAGGCGCACCAGCATCGCCGCGGGCCAAGGGCGAGGGCCGCCCGGCGGGGCCCCGTGGAGTGGGCAGAGCAGCAGCTGAGCATGCAGTAGGCCACATGGTACCAGGTCTTGCCGAGCAGCACGCGCAGGAAAAAACGAGCTGGGCGTGACCAAAGCCAGGTCCAGTCCAGGAATGCCGTCGTCAACAGAGGCCAGCTATACTGAAGCCGCCCATGCAACAAACTGTTTTGTCGCAGCAGCCAGCGTCCTCACCGCGTTTGGAGGCAGACGTGGGATGCACGTGGCCGAGTTGGGCACAGCGGACGGCGGGAAGACCCACGCAACAAACACACACCACCACCACCACCACCACCACAACCACCACCAAAAACAGCAGCAACAACAACAGCAACAACTGCAACAACAGCAGCAACAACAGCAACAACCACCACCACCACCACCACCACCACGACAACAACAACAACAACAACAACAACAACAACAACAACAACAGCAACAACAACAACAACAACAACAACAACAACAACAACAACAACAACAACAAAAGCAGCAGCAACAACAACAACAACAACAACAACAACAACAATAACAACAACAACAACAACAATAAAAATGATAACAACAGCAACAACAACAGCAACAGCAACACTAACGACAATAACAATCATCAGCATGTTAAGACTGATCGCTCTGATCCGCTCGCGTGCCATTCAACACGTATATCCCAAAACCTCGATACCCGCAATTTTCGCCTTCGATCGTACCCCCTCTGGGGGTATACATATATGTTATATAGATGTACTACCTGCAACGTGTATTTCGTGCAGCCCCTAAGGCAAAGAACGAGAGGACGGATGGAAGGAAAGGACAAGGGGGAGGGAGGCGGATGGAGCACGAGAGAGAGTAGCAGGAGGGGGGCTAGGAACAGAAACACGTGGCAGAACCAGAAGGGCTGATCGGGCGGGTAGACCCTAACGGGCGGGTCCGGAAGGCGGGCCCAGGTGGCCAGGTCGAGCAGGCGGGTTGCTGAAGCGTGCGTCCTGCATGAATCGCAAGTCTCGAGCGACAGCGCGATTCCCAAATAAATCGTGAGGACATCCACAGCGAGAGCGGGATTCCTGAGTGTCGAGGGCGCGGCGTCGGAATACATTGCGAGGAAAGCCCACGCGAGAGCGCGATTCCAGCATAGATTGTCAGGACGTTCCGCGCGAGAGCGCGATTTCGGAAGGAAATGTGAAGAAGTATCAGGCGGGAGCCGCTGTTGTTGTAAACCGGTGGCCAACAACCCAGTTTGGTGACACTTCGCTCCCCTGTAAAAATCCAGGTGCGAGCCCTGGGATAAGCACTTGAGTTGAAAAATACAATGGTTATCGGGCAGGGGGGAACAGCAACACTTATCATTTAGAAATGAGAACTCAACAACAACAACAACAACAACAACAACAACAACAACAACAACATCAACAACAACAATCATTTTACCCTCATGCGCGATGTTTCCACACGAAGCACGCAACCTTCATGATAACCATCCCCATCATTGTTCTATAAAGGGGTCCGTTATTCCCATTCCCGGATCTCCCGCCCAATGAGGTCTTGCAAGCACCTCCTCCGAGGAAATTCAACATATCCCGCCTCGAAAACATATGCCCGCGCCTTGCTGCGCCGATGCGAGCCAGTGGAGCCCCAGCAAAGGGTAAAGCACAAGGAAATATCGAGCGACAGGATTGCCTTGGTGGGGATGGGGGCTGTCGGCGGCGAGGCAAGGACCTGGCATAGAAAAGGAGGAAATCTCGAGCAGGGCCGCTGTTGTTGCTGGGAGCGGCGCCAATGCTGAAGAGAATAGGGCGCTAGTCCAGCGTAAAACAAAACGAAGTCTCGAGCGGGAACGCTGGTTTTGTTGGGACGGCGGTTGTCGGCGGCGAGGAGGAACACCTTGAGTAAGAAGTGAGGAAGTCTCGAGCGGGAGCCGTGGTTTTGTCGGGACGGGGGCTGTCGGCGGCGAGGAACAGCACCGTCCTGAGGAAAAAGGTAGGAAGCCTCGAGCGGGAGCGTTGTTCTTGCTGGGAGCGGCGCCAATTCAAAAGAGAGTAGGGCGCCAGTCCAGCTTCTAACGGGAGGAAGTCTCGGGCGGAAGCGCTGGTTTTGTCAGGACGGCGGTTTTCGGCGGCGAGGAGGAGCACCGCCTTGAGTAAAAAAGGGAGAAAGTCTCGAGCGGGGGCGGCGCCGATGAGAGAAAGTAGCGCGCCGGTCCAAGGTAAAACGGAAGGAAGTCTTCAGCGGTAGCGCTGTTTTTGTTGGGACGGCGGCTTTCGGCGGCGAGCAAGAGCGCCGGTCCTGAGTAAAGAAGGAGGACGTCTCGAGCGGGAACGTTGTTGTCGGGGGGCTGGTTTTGGCGCCCCCACAAGCCGCTTGAGCGTGAGCCTCATTTTCAATGAAAATGTAGCCAGCGCCGAGGCGAGAGCGCCAAAGCGCCGGGGGGGTCCACCAATAACAATTGTTTAGTAATTAACCTTAAGCAGCAACAACAACAACAACAACAACAACAACAACAACAACAACGACAACAACAACAACAACAACAACAACAACAACAACAACAACAACAACAGCGACAACAACAACAACAATAACAACAACAACAACCACAGCAACAACAACAGCAACAACAACAACAGCAACAACAACAACAGCAACAACAACAACAGCAGCAACAACAACAGCCGCAGCAGCAGCAACAACACCAACAACAACACCAACAACAACAGCAGCAACAGCCGCAGCAGCAGCAGCGGCAGCAGCAACAACAACAGCACGGACAACAACAACAAAAATAACAACAACAACAACAATACAAACAGCATCAACAGCAACAACAACGACAACAACACCAACAACAGCACCAACAAAAACAACAATGAAAACAACAACAACAACAATAACAACAACAACAACAACAACAACAGCAACAACAACAACAGCAACAACAACAACAACAACAACAGCACCAACAACAGCAACAGCAACAGCAACAGCAACGACAACCTCAACAACAACAACAACAACAACAACAACAACAACAACAACAACAACAACAATTCAAAAGAGAGTAGGGCGCCAGTCCAGCTTCTAACGGGAGGAAGTCTCGGGCGGAAGCGCTGGTTTTGTCAGGACGGCGGTTTTCGGCGGCGAGGAGGAGCACCGCCTTGAGTAAAAAAGGGAGAAAGTCTCGAGCGGGGGCGGCGCCGATGAGAGAAAGTAGCGCGCCGGTCCAAGGTAAAACGGAAGGAAGTCTTCAGCGGTAGCGCTGTTTTTGTTGGGACGGCGGCTTTCGGCGGCGAGCAAGAGCGCCGCTCCTGAGTAAAGAAGGAGGACGTCTCGAGCGGGAGCGTTGTTGTCGGGGGGCTGGTTTTGGCGCCCCCACAAGCCGCTTGAGCGTGAGCCTCATTTTCAATGAAAATGTAGCCAGCGCCGAGGCGAGAGCGCCAAAGCGCCGGGGGGGTCCACCAATAACAATTGTTTAGTAATTAACATTAAGCAGCAACAACAACAACAACAACAACAAGAACAACAACAACAACAACGACAACAACAACAACAACAACAACGACAACAACAACAACCACAGCAACAACAACAGCAACAACAACAGCAACAACAACAACAGCAACAACAACAACAGCAGCAACAACAACAGCCGCAGCAGCAGCAACAACACCAACAACAACACCAACAACAACAGCAGCAACAGCCGCAGCAGCAGCAGCGGCAGCAGCAACAACAACAGCACCGACAACAACAGCAAAAACAACAACAACAACAATACAAACAGCATCAACAGCAACAACAACGACAACAACACCAACAACAGCACCAACAAAAACAACAATGAAAACAACAACAACAACAACAACAACAACAATCATTTTACCCGAACGCGTGGTGTTCTCCCCAGTGCCAGGGTTTTCATACGACACCAGGCAATACCCCCACTTCGTGGGGGGGCATTACAAGCTCTACCAAATATCCAAACGACTCTTCGCGACCACCCAAACCCAGCTTCCCGCCCTATGACGTTGGGACACTTCACTTCGTGGCGTGCGGACGACCGTGGCTACTACACTGGCGTGGGGTACACACCCACAGAACTTGGTCACTTATTCGGGGCGCGCATGTGCCCAGCATGGTGCAATTGTGCCATACAATACATAATACAGAGAGACGAATGTGTCCCGCATGGTATTATTTGACAGGGATGATGGCCCTGGCAGGTGCGCAACCGTTGTCGCAGAAGTTCGAAAAAGTTGCTCGCAAAAGCCCGTTTGACAGAAATGTTTAAAAAGTGTTGGGTTTCCTACGAATCCGCAAGAGCGCGCGGGATGAGATTTTGACATTTTTTTGTTGAAAAACCATTGGTTTTTTGATGTTTTTATGTTAAAATCGCTCCGAACACTAAGCTTTTGGAAGGATTTCGTCTTGCGCGCGCGAATGTCCACTTTACCTTATTTTTTGCAAGGGATTCTTGAAATTTGATTATATTTGAACAAGAAATTTCATTTTATAGTGTTTTTTGCAAGGGAAAACGGATTACAACAAAACAACCGGATCTTGATCAACTCGAATTACCTGAGGCTTCCTCACGAAAATGATGAAAACGTGGCTGCGGCCTAGGCGCGGCGGGGGGGGCGCGCACCAGGGGGCCCAACAATAATTATTCTTTAGAATTAATAATGTTCAACAACAACAACAACAACAACAGCAGCAACAACAACAACAGCAACAACAACAACAACAGCACCAACAACAGCAACAGCAACAGCAACAGCAACGACAACCTCAACAACAACAACAACAACAACAACAACCACAACAACAACAACCACAACAACATCAACAACAACTACAACAACAACAACCGCAGCAGCAGCAGCAGCAACAGCGACAACACAAACAGCAACAGCAGCAGCAGCGACAACAACAGCAAACACAAAAACAAAAACAACACTCGTCGCAGTGCTCCCGCCCCAGCGCGCCGGCCTGTCGGGGCAGAAGAGCGAGAGCGCGGCCCCCTTCCGCTGGTCCGGCAGCGCCAGGAACTGCTGCACCGCCAGCCGGTGGGCCTTGTTGATCTTGAGGCCCTTCATGTCCTGGCGACGTCTGCGGTCGGGAACTCTGGCGCAGCGCGTCGCCGCGGCGGCCCCGGTGATACGCTACGCCTCGCAGGCGGACGGCGCGCCGCACGGCTCCGCAGGGCGGGGGGCTCGGGAAAGGCTCGGGGCGTGAGCAGGAAGTGGACAGCGTGTGGCGCCGACGCGTGCTGGGCCAGAAGCGGCGGAGCAACACGCCATCCAAAAGCTCCTGACCGTAGCGCTGCGGCAAAGCGCGTCCGCGTAGCGCGGGAGGCGGAGGAGGTCCGAGATCAGGAGCAGGGGGAAGCAGGAGGATGGGGCGGAGGAATAGAAGGAGGGAGGGGGGGCGGAGAGGAGGTGGAGGAGCACGAGCAGCAGCAGCAACAGAGAGAGCAGAAGGAAGAAGAGGAGGAGTCAGAGTGAGGATGGGACAGGAGGAGGAGCAGGAGGATGAGGAGGAGGTGTCAGGCTGAGCTCTAGCGGGCTAAAGCATGCTCGGGGGCACCAGAAAAAGGTCAGGCGGTCCTGGGGCATCAAGTTCGCGCTTATAGCTCCGTGTAGGACGTAGAGCACAGCCTCAGCGTCCTTGTCGGGGATCTCTAGAAGTTGATAGCTTCTCCTGGCGGGTTCCACTCTTGAGCGGTGCCCAGAGCCTCGAGTAGATGCGAGGCGGGGACATGTCCATATGCACCGCCTGTGGAACCGACGTTCTGGGACCCCAACAGGCGGTGGATATGGATAGAGTTTGGCCCCGTGGGCTCCGAAAGTATCCACATCCACCGCCTGCCGCGGTCCCCGAAGATCGATCCCCCAGGCGGTGTTTATGGATTTATCCCCGCTGCGGAGTAGAGGCGCGTGCTCCTCCAGGTTGCATCCTGAGGTCGCGATTCGCGCTGCGCAAGGCCCGGGCCGCGGCTGTGATCTCGCTCTCGAGCCAACGGACTCCTGGAGAAGACGGACTCTCTGGCCCAGACTGCGAAGCGCCGACCGCGATCATCCGATCATCTCTTCGTCCCTGCGGGTGACCTAATTGATTCTGCTGCTGCCCTCACCACCGGAAGCGAGATATGTAGTGACATCGACAGCCGCGCAGGAATACCTCGCGACGCGTGGGGTGGCAACGGGCGAGTAGAGAAGGCAGCATGTGCGCGTCATGAAGGGACGGACGCACGTGGGGGGCTGGAGAACGCAGCACGGAGAGTCCTGGTCGACATCGCCGACCTCCTCGATCGCGAGGATGGGGGCCTGCCGCCCCACTCCTTTGCACCCTCGAGCCAGGTCTCGAAGCGCACGGTCACTGCACTCTCCATGTACGCGCGGGCGCAGGTGTTCAACGTTGGCGGCTTCTGAAAGGGGCGAAGGCGGGGACCCTGAGGGTTTCGAGACTTGTCGACGCCCCGAGTCAGGCCGAGATCGGCGCGCCCACCCAAACGCCGACCACGGCATCCGGGGTGTGACGAAGATCTGCTGGCCTTCCCGCTGGCGCCCATGCAGTGTGCAGGGGTAACGTTGACGGGTGCGCGTATGCCTGTCGTCGATTGCCTTCCTCCTGTGCCGTTGGCCCCCCACCCCCGCAAGGCAGTCGAGGTGTAGCACGCTGGCGGCACTGCTTGGCCAACGTGAGCGTACGCAGCCCGACCTTCGCCCAGGGATACTCGCGGCGAAGCTTGGCCCCGACAGCAAGCTAAGAGCCTGGCTGTAAGGCTGGCAACGAAACACCTGCACGTGTGCATACGTTCGCCGCCACGACCATACAGTACAGTCGAACGTGCACGCATGACAGTCAAGTGTCAGAGAGCCACTCTTTAGGCCTCCTCCTCCTCCTCCTCCTCCTGCTCCTGCTCCTCCTCCTCCTCCTCCTCCTCCTCCTCCTCCTCCTCCTCCTCCTCCTCCTGCTCCTGCTCCTCCTCCGCCTCCTCCTCCTCCTCCTCCTCCTCCTCCTCTCCTCCTCCTCCTCTTCCCCCTCCTCCCTCCTCCTCCTCCTCCTCCTCCTCCTCCTCCTCCTCCTCCTCCTCCTCCTCCCTCCTCCTCCTCCTCCTCCTCCTCCTCCTCCTCCCTCCTCTCCTATCCTCCTCCTCCCTCCTCCCTCCTCCTCCTCTCCTCCTGCTCCCCCTCCCTCTCCTCCTCCTCCTCCTCCTCCTCCTCCTCCTCCTCTCCTCCTCCTCCTCCTCCTCCTCCTCCTCCTCCTCCTCCTCCTCCTCCTCCTCCTCCTCCTCCTCCTCCTCCTCCTCCTAGCCGTTCTGCGCTCAAGCTGAGTTTTGCAGACGCGTTTCTTCAGAGCGGCTCGCGTCTGCGGGCCAAAGTGTCTCGGTGGGAGGCCCTATCCTCCCAAGCTTTTTCACGATTCCTCTCAGACAGCTGCGATGGGGTATCAGTGGGCATCAGGGCGCTGGTCAGATCATAGTCCTCCGTGGCGTGGTGATCAGCCTGCTGGTGTGCCTCCTGGTCCTCAGCTTCCCCGTCCTCTGCAGCCTGGAGCGCAACTCTGGCCAGGGCCAGCTTCCGCGCACCAGCCTTCAGGAGGTGGAGGTCAGAGATGGGCATGCTCCAAGTGCCCATGTCGTCGCAACGCTGCCTCTGCCGCATTCTGCAAGCACTGCAAGGCCCCGCGCGAGTACTACCCGTCGGCCCATGGCTGGCAATATGGTGCTCCTGGGGCTGCTCAACCACCTGGCTTCTTCGGTCTGCCTCGTCAGGCCCCAGTGTTCCCTGGTGGTCGAGCCCCTGCACCACCTGATGGTCCACAAGCCGAGCCCCTACCCGATGCTGGAGGTATGGATGACAAGGAGCTCGAGGTCTTGGTGGCCAGCCTCGGCAAGGCAGGTGATGCAGTCGGTGCAAAGAAGTTTCAGGCTATTCTGGACGCGAGGAAAGCACCTGTGCTTGAGGTGCCTGTGGAGCGCAGGGTCAATCAAGCGTTCCACAACCTTCGTGCCGCGGAACAACGCCTGCAGAAGAACGTCACGCTCTTTACTAACCTGGAGCAGTCTTTGGAAGCTCAGCGCAAGCTCGTGGTCACGGCCAACGACGAATACAAGCAGGCGGAGCTGGAGCACCAGCGCTTGGTTGCTGAGCTGGCTAAGAAGTCGGGGCCAAAGGCGGGACCTCCGCCCAAGCCTCAGGTCACCATCAAAGATATCATGGACGGCAAGACGCACGAGCTCATCACGCTCGGCGATATGTTCTCTTTCGGTGATGACGACTACGAGCTTTCCACTGAAGACAAGAAGGCAGCAGACTCTCTGGTCGAGCAGCTCAATGCTGGCCTCAAGGAGGCCACCACAAAGGTCTTCGCGGAGGCGGCGGCTGCTGTGGAGAAAGCAAAAGCTGATCATCAGGCGCTGCTGGAACGTCTGGCAGGGAAGCGCCGTCGGCGCGATGAGCCTGCAGGTGGACCTGCCCAGGTACCGCCTAATCAGCCAGGTGGCGCAGCGGCCCCGCCGCCTGCCGCCGCTGCCTCTGAGGGAGGGGGAGCGGGCGGTACGTGTGGGGGGGACGGGGCTCCTTCTGCTGACAGCTCGTCGGCCACTTTACGTGCTGCCGCCAATATTGCGGCTGGCGGCTCCAGCACTGGCAATCAGAGTTCCTAGCAGGGTTGAGGCCGAAGCCTCACAGTATCACGTACACCCGATGTTTATATCTTTGGCTGACGCCATCTCAGCTCGGCCTCCTGTGGAGATGGTGAGGCCTGAGCGAGTGAAGTTTTGCTCGAGAGGCCCCACCTGTCTCAAGCGTGGTCACGCGATTCAGGCTAGGGTTGCTCAGATCACTTCTCTGCCTGGACCTCGGGACCCTGTTTATGTGAAGCCTTTTGTTGCCCAGGATACCCCTCCTCACGTTGATGCGGTCGCCTTGTCTTTTGAGACTTGCAACGTGTCGGGGTGGAAATCCTCGGGTAAGTCTTGGCTCTCCAGGTCCCAGGCCCACGTTGTTGTTTTGCAAGAGCACCACTTAGCTTCTCAGGAGGACATCCTCCAAGCCTCTGCCTGGGCCCTTCGAGCGGGGTGGAAAAGTCTGCGGGAGCCTGCCTTGGAGTCCGAGTCAGGAGGCTCGTCTGGAGGGGTTGCTATACTTTGTCGCAATTGGCTGGGCCTCCATCGTCTCCCTGACGTCTCCAAGTTATTGCACCGCGTGATGGGCGCGGCCGTTCAGATTCCTGGGGGTCTGGAGGTCTCGGTTTTCTCGGTTTACATGCAGGACGGTAAGAAGCTGGAAGAGCCCAACAGCACGCTCTTAGCCGACCTCGGGGCGGCAGTCTCATCTTGTGGGTCGTCTTGGCTTATTGGCGGCGACTTTAATTTCCACCCGGCCTTGCTGCAAGAGTCGGGATTTGACGTTCGATCTGAAGGACGGGTAGTGTTTCCTGATGTCGTGGGGACCTGCACGACGACGGGGGGGTTACGTTTGAGCGATTTCTTCGTGTGCAGTCGAGGCCTTAGTTCGGCTATTCGGGGAGTGTCCGTGATCTCCGAATCCGACCTCTCTCCTCACTCGCCCGTTCGGCTGATCCTTTTCCCTCAGATCGGACGTCTGCGCTCGCTCGCGTTCAGGAAGCCTCCTAGGATCCCTGTCGAGATGATGGTGGGTCCGCAGCTGGCTCCCCCCGATCTGACGAGCCTTCTCGCCAAGCTTCAGAGCGGTGTCGTCACTGCTCGATCTGGCGATGGGTTGCGCACTCAGGAGATTTTAGACCAGTGTTATGGGGAATGGGCTGATGCGGCCGAAGTCGAACTCACTCGTGCCGCTGGGGTCGACCTCCCGAGGATGGGCCTTCGAGGCCAGCCCCCCAAATTGGTTTGGCGTTCGGTTATGGATCAGGATGTTCGCAACCCTCGCAACCCGTCCCTTTTCGCCACTAGATGGCTTTGGCAGCGTTTTCAGGTGCTTGTCGGTATGCTCAGCCAGGGAGCGCCGCTTGAGGCGGCCACTCAACCTCTCCCCCAGCCCTCGGCGTCTATTTCAAGTGCTCTGGGGGAGCACGGCCTGCTGCTCAGCGACGTTCAATCCTTCGCTGCGGAGGCCGAGTCGTCCCCGAGCACGGTGGACATGGAGGTGGCGCTAGTTTTAAAAGATCGTATCCGTGGTGTCCTGGACCAGACCATCCATGAAACTCGCTCGGCCTCCCAGACGTCCTGGAGGCAGTGGGTTTTGGAAGGGTTTAACAAAGGGGCCAAGCGGGCCCACCTGGTCACTCGTGATCCTATATCCTTTGTGCCCACCACCACCCTCATTGATGGAGACCGCGTTGTTAGCGACCCCCACAACCTTCTTCAGCGTGAGGAAAGCAGGTTCAAGGCCCTCTGGAGGGCCCAGGTGTCGGCTCCGACCCCCCCCGCCACCTTCGACCCTGCCCCTGATCTCCCTCCCATCAGCCCTGATGAGATAAGGAGTGTCTGTGGGAGGCACAAAGTTTTCTCGGCCGTCTCGACCGACGGCTTCCATATCCGCCATTTTGCCTGGCTGTCCGAAGCCAGTTTGCAGTGCCTGGCGCTCATTTTGCAGATGATGGAGATTTCCTCTTTTCTCCCTTCTCACATTCGGGTTGTCATCCTTCATCTGATCCCCAAAGCTCTTCCTGGTCTCAGGCCCATTGGTTTGTTCGGAGGCCTTTATCGGGCCTGGGCTAAAATTCGGAGGCCGCTTGGCCTGGCCTGGGAGGAGGCCAACTATAGGCCTTGGTTTGCCGCGGGACGCTTTATGGGAGCTGCTGACACGGTGTGGCGACAAGCTGCGCGGAGTGAAGGGGGGGTGGCCGATGGCCTCTTTGCCGTCGCTCTGTTGTGGGATTTTCAGAAATAGTATGAAAGCATTGATCTCGACCGTATGCTGGGCAGGTGTCTGCGTTTGGGCTTTCCCGCTGCGGTGGCGCGTCTCTGCTGTTCAGCATACAGATGTGCGCGGCACATCGTGTTAGGTGGTTTCATGACGGACGCCAGTTTCGCCAGCTTCGGCATCGTGGCCGGCTGCTCTTTTGCAACGACGCTTATTCGAGTCAACAGCCTGGAAGCTCTCGACCAGATCGAATGGCCCATTTGTACTACGTACGCTCTTTATATTGACGACAACGCAGTTCACGCCATTGGTTCGGAGGTCGAGGTGCTCGAAGGGCTGGTCTCCGCCAGTTCGCAGTTGGTCGTCGCCATCTCTGAGGGGATCGGCGCCACCCTGGCCGAGGACAAAGGGGCTCTAATTTCGTCCGACAAAAAACTTGGTTGTAAGGTCCAGGAGGCCATCGGGGTGGCCCTCGCGGGGCCCTTGGTTTCCTTGGCCCCGAATTCAGGCGTTGACGACACGGTAGGTCGCCCTGTTCGGCAGCAAGGTCGTAATGCTAAAGCCAAAGCCCGTCGTATCAAGGCTTCTCGTCGGGGTAGGCGCGTGGGGAGACTCGCTCGCACGGATGGACGCAAGGCTCGAAGGGTTTGGTGCTCTGGGGTCCTTCCTGCTGCCACTTACGGCGCGGAAATCTCGGGGATTTCCGACGGGGAACTTTTGGCTTTAAGACGGTCCTTTGCCAGCACTATCAAGCCGAGTGCGGGTGACCGCTCGCTTTCGATTCTTCTGCATCTGGAAAAGGACCCCACCTGGGCGGTTCAGATTGCTCCGATTTGTAGGTGGCATAAGGAACTCTGGCACGCCCATCTGTCCTCTCACCCCTCGGTTTTGAGTTTTGCTGAAATGCGTGTGGTGTGGGGGTCTGTTTTTGGTTTGGAATCCAAGTCTTGGAGATCTGTTTCAGGTCCTATCTCAGCCATGAGGAAAAGTCTCGAGAGGATCAGTTGGCAGATGCCCAACTTCGCCACGCTGATCGACGATCGCGGCGTGGAGCTGCCGTTGCTGTGCCTGTCGCCTGCTCTCGTGCGCCGTCTCGCGATGGAGGCGGTCTTCAGACAGCTGGAGTGGATGATTGGAGGCAAGCTTTTTCTCCCTGGTCGAGGCTGCCTCGACGTCGTCCATGAAGCTCTAGCGACCAAACGTTTTTCTCCGCTGGAAAAGGGCATTATCCGTGCCTGGAGCACGGGTGCGGTGTGGACCCGCATCTACGCCAGGTCCAAAGGGTACGAGTTCCCAGAGTTTTGTGAGTTGTGTGGGAAGGCTCGTGACACTATGTACCACAGGTTGTGGGTTTGTCCCTGTTTGGACGCCAAACGTCGTGAAGCTGTGGGGGATGATATCGTCGACGGGGTGACGGACTTCGTTTCGCAGGGAAGACATCGTTTGACTCTGGTTACCCGAGGCATCCTGGCTCATCCTGGTGACGAACACCCCCCCCCGCTCGAAGAGGGTTCCTGGGACGTCTCGTGGCGTGGGGACCCGCCTTCTGACAATGTTTTTAGCTTCCAGGGGAAAGTTTTTGTTGACGGTTCTTGCTCTCGGCACGTTATAAAAGAGCTGAACCGTGCGTCCTGGTGTGCTGTTTTGTTTTCCGACGAAGATGAGCTGCTGTGCACTATGAGATGCCCTGTGTGGGCCCCGCTCCCCCAGACCCCTCAAGCTGGAGAGTTTTCGGGATACTGGGGAGCGGTCATGAGTCTCACTGGCCCCAGCACGATCATCACTGATTGTGCCAACGTGGTTACCCAGCATGAGCTTCCAAGAGTTGCTCAAACTTTTTTCAAACGTTTGTACTCTGGTGTCTTTGTTCAGCTGTTATCTAGGCCCGAGCGTCGTCACATTCGTGAAGTGCTCAAAATTAAGGCTCACCAGTCTTTGTCTGAGGAAGGCATCTCTGCTCAGGAGGAAGCCGATCGTCTAGGGAACCACTTGGCCGACCTAGGGGCTAAGGAGGCCCTTGCGTTCCATCCCTCAGATTCTAATGTGCTGGAAGAAGCAAATGAGAGTGTGAAGTTTGCTAGGGCAGCCTGCAAGCTCGCGGCTAAGTTGCTGCCAGAGTTTGCTGCTCTCAGTTCGATCAAAGATGTGCCCTACCTCCCTGGTGTGAGCGTGCCTAGAGCTGCTTCAGGCGACGTTCACATGTGGTTTAGGTTTGAAGGTTTTTGGCGCTGCTCTAGGTGTTTCCAGATTCGTCGGCCTCGGGACGGTTCGAAGCCCATTCCTGGTCGTTGTTCCGGTTTAAAAGCCTGCAGTGCCGACAAGCTCACCGCCCTTCAGCACAAGTGTGTTATGTTCCCGTGTAGCGACGGGTCTGAGCTTGTGATCTGTATGAAGTGTAAGTGTTACTCCTCCCACGGCACTCTTCGTGGGCTGGCTGCTCGCTGCGACCCCCCTCCTAGCAAGTTCGGAGTCTGGGCGTGGCAGCAGATCTGCAAGAGCCGTCACCCAAAGAGGAAGGGGGTGGTGGTGCAGTTGGGAGTGAATCTTCGTGACGGCTCTAATCTGTTTCAGGACGGTTTGCCCGAGGCTGTGAGTGAACCCGTGCCCCCTCCTCCTCTTCCGCCAGCTGCCCCTAGCCCCTTGCACCCGCAGAGCGAGGTGGCAGGTCTTTCGAGGGAGGAAGAGAAGGCACGCGAGTTCCAGGCCAGGGTTCGTCGTCTTTGCATCGCGGCTGGCGCCGCTCCGTCGTCCCCAGCTCAAATTCCTAAAGCTGACCAGGACGACTCAGATTAATAGCCGCTCTCTATTTTGTTTTGTTCTGGTTGAAGGTGTTGCACAGATCTCACCTTTGTCCAGACAGGCTTTTGGCATCGTGTTCTCAATCCTTCAGGGGGTGGGTTTGTCTGCCCTGCGGGGGGCGTGGTGCGAGTGGGGACTGCCCGGCGGTGCGCCGTTAGTGACCCTCGCACCGTTGCTCCCCGGCCCCGCGCACGGCGCGGAGAGTTCAACTCTGCCTCTGGCTGGTTGGAACAAACAATCCTTCAGGGATTCGAGACTGCCATCGCCTCGTCGCCTCCTTTCACCCAACTGTTTGTGGGTGACTGCAGGCGCCTTTTCTTGTTGCAGGCTGCAAGCGCCATGTGCAGCCTGGATGCAAGCCCCAATGCGGGACAGTGAAGGTGGTTGAAGCCCCAGGGGGAAAAAAAAAAATCCTCCTCCTCCTCCTCCTCCTCCTCCTCCTCCTCCTCCTCCTCCTCCTCCTCCTCCTCCTCCTCCTCCTCCTCCTCCCTCCTCCTCCTCTCCTACCCCCCGACACACCCTCTTCTAGAGGCTTCCTGAACGGGGCCGGAGCAGATCGGGTCGGAGGATCGTGCCGCATCGCCGATACAGCGGCGATGCATCGGCGATCATCGGCGATGCAGCGCGATCCTCCGACCCCAGCTGCTTCGACCCCATCTGGGAGGCCTAGATCACATTTGCACACATGCCATCCTTGCTCGGCGCCATTCGGACGCCTGCGGTGGGGGAGTCAACCGAACACGGCTCCCGATTCCCAACCTCTTCCTTGCCCTCCACGAGATGATCCTCTCAGCTTCCCCACTGCATGCACACAAGGGCCTCGACAAAGATGCAGTCGCCAGGCAGAAACTCCCTCGTGGCAAACACGCCGCTCTGCTCTCTGCCGTCGCGCACCACCTTCTCCAGTCGCACGGGCGCCACCCAGGCCTCCTCTGGCAGGCGAGGGGGGGCAGGAGAGCCCAGAATCGAATCGATAAGTCGAATCGGCGATCGAACTGCATTGGATTGGCGAAGAATCGGCGGAAATCGGCAGGACAGTAAGGCCTCCGCTGAAGAATCCGAATTCAAATCGCCATCCCAAGTCGAATCGAATCGGAATCGGAATCTATCGACATCGCATCGAATCGAATCGGGTGAATCGAATCGTGGGGGGGTGGGGGGGGCAGGTTCCAGCGGATGAGACGAGAGGAGGCGCGGGGTGACGGGACGACGGGACGACGGGGGGGGACAAGGAGACGAGGAAGGGGCGACGGGGCACCAGGGACGGCAGACGGCAGAGGGGGGAAGGAGGGGTTAAGGGAGCGCGGGGGAATGGGGGGAGGGGGAAAGGGCGAAACGGGGGGGAGGGGAAGCAGAGGGACAGGGGAAGTGGAAGGGTGAAGGGGGAGGGCGGGGGGCTGGAGGGAGAGGAGGGCGAAGAGGGCAGGTAGGTAAGGGGAGAGTAGGCATATGGATAGGGACAACGGTGAAGTGGAGATTAGGAAGGAGAAAGGGGGGAAGGGTGCACTGTTACATGGGACAGAAAGGGAGAAACAACAGAATTGGGAAAAGGGAGCGGAAAATTCAATCAGGAACGGAAAACTCGGAAAGCGTGAAAGGGAAAAAAGAAGAGGAAAAAGGAAGGGGAAGGGAACGCAGACTGGCAAAGGAGGAGAAACTGGCGTGAGCAGAGGACAAGGAAAGCTACCACGAACGGAAACCAAAAACCGACGGCAGAATAACACGTGCACCAGAGCGCCGAACCGTCTGTGTGGTAGGGTTGCCGCAGCCTTCCAGGACCGACCCCCCCTCATCGCAGCCCAGTCAAGGGAAGCCCCACTACGCGTTGCTCATTGGCGCCCTTTTGAATCTCGGTCGTTCCCCAAATGACCCGAAAGACAGCCCAACGATCCCCACGATGGCCCCAAGATGTCCACAAGAGGCCCAAAGAGGTCCAAAAGAAGCCCCTAAAAGACGCCCAAAGAGGCCTCCAGCGAGGCCATCAGAGGAGGACACAACCAACCATATTAGTTCCACCTTGTGCTTCCGTTGCGTTTCGGCTTAAGACCGCCTCGGAAAAGACTCAGACAGCCCTGGGAAAGCTCCAAGACGGCGCAAGACGGACAGACGGCCAAAGATCGTCCCAAGACAGCCCGAGACCGCTCCGAGAGGGCCTCAAGACAGGCTCCAGAGAGCCTCTCCAGACGATCCCCAGAGGCAAAAAGAGTCATTTCTGCTCGTGCCCACACCCAGAACGGGCGTCATTGGGGGGGGATACCATGTGGGACCTGCTCTAAAACAAGAACATGCCGTGGACGGATCTACCCTTTCTCCGACCTCGTGCTGCGCCGACCGCATCGGCAGGACGCATCCGCCCCGCATGCGTCTGCAGACGTCACGGCACCCAGTGTGTCCGACGCGTGTGGCTAGAACGTGGGAACGGCATTTGGCACTGACCCCAGCTGCTCGCCTTCTGAAAGCAGGTAGACTTGGCCCTCCAGAGGGGGGGGGCATCTCGCAACGCCCCCCCCCCCCCCGCGCCGTGGCCCCCGGCACAGCCCCAGTGCTCGTCGCGCACCTTCGCTGTGCACCCACAGGGTTCGGCCGCCCACGACCACCGCGCGCGACGTTGCGACCACCGGGCGGCGAGGGGAGGGAAGGCCAGGCCCCGACCCCGCCAGAACCACAGCAGCCCTGTGCGCGCCGATGTGCGCGACAGCAGGCCAGGCTCCGCCAACGCCATCGTAGCGCGCGAGCAGAGCAATATTCAAACGCACAACGATTACACGCGCGCGCCATCATGGTCCCGCAGCTACGCGCACCAGCATGATGGACCCTGAGAGTGCTACAATAGCCTGCGAGCGCCGCAACATGGCTGCGGAAGCAACAACCTTCTTGTGAGCGTCGCAATAGCCTGCGAGCAACACCACGCGCCTGTAAGCACCGCAATACGCTTACAACAACCAAATAACAAGGTAAGCCGGAACCTGTCAGAACCACAGAATCCTGCGAACGCCGCATGTGTGCGCAACAGCATGCCTGACCCTGTAAGTGCCGATAGCCTGCAAGAGAAGAAGAGGAAGAGGAAGAAGAGGAAGAGGAGGAGGAGAAAGAGAAATACAAAGACGAGGACGAGAACGAGCAGGAGGACGACCAAAAGGAGACGAGGACCACGACGAGGAGGAGGGGGAGGGCAACGGCGAAGACCGCAACGACGACGAGGACTCCGAGGAGGATGTCGAGGATAAGGACCACGAGGACCACAAGGCCAACGACGAGGACGATGGCGACAACGACGGCGGGACGACGAGATCGACAAGGAAGATGAGGACGAGCAGGAGAAGGAAGAGGATGGGGACGAAGACGAGGAGGAGAACGAGCAGCAGGAGCAGGACGAGCAGGATGAGAAGGAGGGGGGGAGGGGAAGGAGGGGAAAGTCGAGGAGGTGGTGGGGGAGGAGGGGAAGTGTGCACACACACACACACACAAAAAAAAAAAAATGTGTGCGGTTAGCCGCAGGCCGGATTCTCCAGATGTCTGGGCCCCAGGGACATCGGCAGCAGCGGCGCCCATCGCAGCAGGCGCCCGCCACAGCAGTTGCCAGCGCCGTCCACGCCGAGGAGCACCACAATAATAGCACTCGAGCATCGCAGCGTGCCTGTGAGCACCGCAGTGTGCTCGCGACCATAGAACAGCGAAGGAGGCCGGACCCTGCCAGCACCACAACACTGCGCGAGCGCCACATGTGATCGCATGCGTCCGCGACAGCTACAGCTCGCCGGACCCTGCATGTGCCGCCGATAACCTGCGAGCACCGCAACGTGTCTGCGAGCACAGGAAATAAACATGCGAACATCACAGCAGCCTGCGGGCAACACAGCAGCTCGCGAGCACCACGGTAGCATGCGAAAGCCACAGCCAGCGAGCACCGCAGAGGCGCTACGACCGCGCCTTGCTACGAGGCTGTGGTGCGCGCGTGCGCTGCGGCAGCGTCGGGAGCGCGCTGCGAGGGTGGAAGGGGGGAAGGGGGCGTCACGCTATGGGCGGGGGGGGAGGAGACCATAACACACATTACGGGCCAGGCCCGAACAAAAGCTCCCCTGGAAGCTCCCAGGAGGCCCCTACGAAGCCGCCGAAAACCCCCCACGAGCAACTCGACAACCATGCAGCGTGACGGCCGCGCCACGCCACAGCACGTCAGCGATGTTTCCCTGACGGCCCCAGGGATGGAGCTGCCGAGCCTGCCCGGAAAAGTCGGCACAATCATCCTGCCTGGCTTCCAAGGCTGCGCTGGCACCGTGGCGGGGTTGACCGCACGCCGTTGGGTTAAAGGGAAAAAGAAGCGAAGAACGGGAAAGGCGAGGGAACTAATCATGAGATATACGCGCACGCGGGGTAAGTTTGGATGCAGGCGAATCAAAGGGAATAAGGATGATGAGAAAATGCGACATGCGACAACGAGGGCGGGGGAAGGACGGCACCAGCAGGTTATGATTGCCGGGGTGAAAAGGAAGGGATGGGAAGAGGGATGCGCATAAAGGGTAAGGCAGGGGTGCGAGGGGCGGAAAAGAATTGCGGGAGGAGGACATCGGTCGGCTGTGAGAAACGGAGAAGGTGACGGCGGAGATCTCGACGGAATCAAGGGAGGCGGCGGAAGGGATGGAGGAGAAGGAGGGAAGACAGACAGAGAGTACGTAGACAAATGGGATGGAGGTGTCGGAGGCGGTGGAGGCGGCGGAGGCTGCGAAGGGGTGGAGGGGTGGAGGAGGAGGAGGAGGAGGGAAAGGACGAGGGTGGAGGCACATGGAGGCCCATCCGCTCCTTGGAGCCCTTCTCACGGATGCTCCCAGGGGGCGCGAGAGATGCGGTGCCTGGAGCTCAGGACCAGCGTGGGGGGCTCCGGCCTTCTCCTCCTCCTCCTCCCTTTCCTCCTCCTCCTCCTCCTCCTTCTCCCTCCTCCTCCTCCTCCTCCTCCTCCTTTTCCTCCTCCTCTGCCTCCTCGACACAGCCTTGGCGCAACATGAGTCTGTTACACCTCTTGCCACTTGCGCCACCACGCCAGCGCGCGCGAGTGGCGCTCGCAACCACTTTCGCCACCTACGCCGCTGACGTGGGTGGCGCCTGACTGCCGCTTGCGCCACCACCTGCAAGGGCAGATGGGCGGCGCTCTCCAAAACCATGCCCCGAGGAGACCTCACACACGCGAGGTGCCTCCGAGGCAACACGCGACTGCACAAGGTAGCGCCACTGCTTGTTCACGGAAGACCAGCCTTTCGCCAAATTCGCAAGAACACGCGCACCCCAGGAACCGTAGGGTTGCGGTCCAGAGCAAGTGCCAGCGAGCCCGGCGGAGACGATAGTCTCTCCCGCCCCCCACACACGCAGCACACCACACACCACTGGCCCCCCACAAGCTGGAACGAGTGCGCAGCATGAGGCCTGCCGCCTTCTCCAGCGACTCTCACATGAGCAGTGTCAGCTCTGGAGAGGACTGGCGGCGTGCTGGTCGGCGGGGCAACGAGGCCGAGCACGGGCACCTGCTGGCGGCGCAGCTTCGCACTGCTGGCATCCTGTTTCGACATATGGAAAGCATCTAACTCGGCCATGGGCGGTTCAACGCGCGCCGCCCAAGTGGCCCAGACACGAAGCACTTTAGCCCTGGCCTTGATGGCACTGCGCGCCTCCTCGGGAATGCGAGAGCGAGAGCACTGCCACTTGGCCCATTCATCGGCAAGATCACTGCCTGCCTTTAACCACTGCGTCGTGCGCCCACTCTGCACCGCAGCACGCGTGCAATGCGAGCGCACCTTGATAACGTGCACATGCTCACTCCCCCCCCCCCCAGTCTTCCACCCGCCCCCACTTGCATCCATATCTCGGCCCACGCGGAGCAAGAGGAAGTGCAGAACGCGCGCCCACGCACATACAGGCCATCGCGCACAAACGAGCTGTCAGTGCACAGTGTGGAGCCTGGCATGCCATGCTGGAGGGCTCTGAGAAGGGCAACTATTTCCGCGGCGTCAATGTCGGCAAGGCCGATGTCAAGCGCGCCACAGAAAACCGCAAGCGTTCGACCTGAGTCAGGAAGGACAGCCACGATCGCCCAGGCAGCTGCCTGCGACTGCATAGGCAAGTTCTGGCCCATCGAAGACCCGTCGAGAAATGCGCGCCCTCCCATCTCCGCAGGCCCACCCCCAAACCATCGAGAGGGCGCATGCAGGGACGGAGGGGGCGGGGCGAGGGGGACAAGGGGCCTCTCGGCGAACAGGCGAGGGAGAAGGTTAACAGAGGCGCGCACAAGGTCGGCAACGAACTCGGGCGGTCGGGCCTCGGTCTGCATATCCTCGCGTCGTCCACAAGAGGCACGGCGATGCAGCAGCGCGCCCGAGGCCTCCATGGACAGCTGGCAGACCGCATCCTGCAAAAGTCCTGCCTCCCACTGCCCACGCTGCGGCCACTGGCCCCCAGCGAAGGTCGAACGAAGGTAGCCTTTCTCCCGGGGCGAAAGCGTCGAGCCTTGCAGAAGCGCGCGGAGCGGGGCAAGGTGGGCTCCATTTCCAAGCCCAGGCGCACCCTCACGTTCAGCCACCTTGCACCACAACCAGCGCTCAATCACATGCTCGAGCCATGAACGCACAGCGCGAGGCGACTGCTCAAGCAAACACACTGCGCCGCACTTACCATGACTCCAAAGAAAACCGCACATGGTGAAACCTTGCCGCTATGCAGCGGCAGCACAGGCGGTAAAAGGACCTCTGACCGCGGCCCAGGGGGGTCCACGGCCCCGAAGCGCCGCCACGGCCGAAACCAGCCCCTGGAGCAAAACCTCCCCGGGAGAAGCTCATCCCAAACAGCGACAGCGAAGCTAACAAGAGGATCGAACTGCAATCTGCACGCGGGATCACACAAACGTGCTGACGAGAGCATCAACATGAGAGCCACGCCTGTTCCCGCAAGGCTGAAACTCTGCACGTGGGCCTGCTGAGCGCGAGCCACGCGTAGAGCGGCGCTGCTGGTGCCGTGCACATTTCCCCCGTCCTTCGAGGAGGACAAGACGGCAGCCTGCAGCATAGCGCGCCTGGATTGCCTAACCTGCTTGGCGAAGTGCGCGAGCCGGCGGGCCCGAGCGCGAGCTGGCCCCGTGCGCCCCTGCCTAGTCGCACGGGGCTCGGCAGCAGCGGCAGAGAAATCAATGCCAAGGTCACGCTCGTTGGAGGCACCTTGAACCTTGAATCTGGAAAGTTCGCGCACGAGCTGAGCACGGACCGACGGCGACGAAGCAGCGACGCGACTCTTCCGACGCGCGACGGGCATCTTTATCTGGTCCAGCTCAGCGCGCAGCATCTTAGTGGCCCCCACCAGATCGGAGCACAGGCCTTGGGGCCGCCCAACCTGGCGCAGCCCAAAGCCGTCCACAACGACTCCTAGCCGCGCCAACCGATGACGCTCAAGAACTCTGCCCACTGGCCCGAAGAGCACCATCTGAAGCACGAGCGTTGCGAAGTGGCACTCAGGCAGCACAGCCTGCAGGGCCATCACATGAGAAGAGATAGCGCCGCCCACGGCATGGGCGCGGGGCGCACGGCACAAGCTAACAAGCAACTTAAGCTGACGAAGGGGAAACCCCGTGCTGGCTGCAGCACTAATCAGCTCACCGTGGCGAATGTGTTAGAACGCTTCCTGCAAGTCTAGAAGCACCAGTCCGCTCGAGAACCCGCGTTCTCGCGCCCACTCGGAGCTGGCAGCCTGAATCCATGCGAGCTGGTCACTACAGCGGCCGCTGGCGGCCCACCAATATGGCCGCGGATGCTCGGCCTGCCAGCGGCCGACCAGAGGGCAGCGGAGGCGCCCTTGCACTCGGGCCAACATGTGACTGAGAACGACCGGTCTGAGACCTCCCTCCCGCTTGGCTAAAAAGACAACCCTGGTGTAAAACTCAGGCCAGCTGCAGGACCTTTCAACATCACACAAGACTTCTAGAAGGGCTTCCAAAGCCAGACCAGAAAGCGCAAGAAGCTGCCGAGGGGAGACCTGGTCGAAACCACACCCTGAGTTCGCAGGGAAAGACTTCAAAACGCGTTTCAATTCGGCCAGACTGGGGACAGGAAAGTCGGGGCCAAGGTCGCCAGGCCACACTAGCTCATCGCCCAGGGCGCCCACCTTCCACCACCCAGACCACTCCTCCTCCAACAGCCGAACCTCCTCACGCTCAGTGGCAGGCGCCCCAGAAGGAGACTGACTTCTGGCATGCCACGGTGTAACTGGCTTGCTGTACGCATATAAGGCTGCACCTCCATTCAACGAGTGCGACTGAACCCACTCCTTCCAACCACGGCTCCTGGTCGCCTCGACGGCGTGGCGCGAGGCGACGGCACGCGCATGCGCAAACTGAGCCAGTGCACGCGCGAGCGAGTACGACAAAGAAGAGGCGATGGACAGCACGGCACGCCAAGCGTCCACAACCTGCACGTTACGCGGCGTGCGCGGCACGAGCTACGAGCGAGGCGCAACGTGCAGTTGCGCAGCGGGGGCCGCTGCCACGCGGCTAGCCTATCAAGGCATCTTGCCACTAGCCTCCACCACAGCGCGTCGGCACTGAGGCGTGGGAAGGCCAGGCCTCTGCCTTGAGGAGCCTGCCGCACACTAAACTTGGGACCAGCGGATCTGCCGAAGTATTCGGTGTCAACCTCCACGTCGAGATCAAACACGTCGGCCCAGTCCCGTTCTGCGTTGTCAAGCCAGAGACGCCACTTACTGTCGAAGTCAAGGCCCTCAGACAGAATACTGTAGTCGACCCAATGCATGTCAGGGTTCGAGCGGCGGCAGCCTACAGGGATGGCAGCCGGCAGCCTCTTCGGAACCTTGGCGACCATGTAGCTCAAACCCGTGTCCTCAAGCTGGCGCAGCGTGAGCACGACGGGGCATTGCGGCGTGGCGCCACCATCCACAAGGATCTCTGCCCGAGCCCCGTAGCGCAGGCATCGCGAAACTACGAAGAAGTCGATGCACCTGCCCGCGCCCACGGAGCTGTTGGCACATGTGGCTGCAGCGGGCACCACACAACAAGCACCCATGGCCTCTACCCACTCTGATCCAATCAAAATCTCTGGCAACATCTGGAAATCACCGCACAGCACGAACGGGATGGCTAAACGCTTGAGCGCCTCGCCCAGCACAGTGAGAATATGCCAACTCTGTGGACCAAGCTCCTGTCCATGATGCAGATACACAGTGGCAAAAGCGAGACCTCCTGGCACCAGACCCTGGCAGTGCAGAAGACGTGCACGCCCAGAGACCACACCGGCCCCGATGCCTTCGAAGCGTCGCAGGCCCGAAGCTTGAGGCACCATGTGCACAAGCCCAGTGCAGTGCCACCACGCCCTGTACCAACAGCAGCCTGCACCGCAGCTTTCCAACCAGCCTTGCGCAAAGCACCTTCCCATGACTCGGCCTTGGCGCCGTCCAGGTGACGTTCCTGACCAGCAACGGCATCGGCGGCAAGCACCCTCGGGTGCTTCAAAATAGCCTCGAGCCCAGCAATGCCAGCGACATTGCTGGTGACAGTCGAAGAGGAATGAACGCGACCCCGTGCTTTCGGCGAGGATGGCAGCAGCGGAGGCGGCAGGGGGGGCATCAGCATCGGCGTCCTCATCAGCGGGAGGGACAGCCGTCTGCTGCTGACACCAAGCGAGCAGCTCCTGGTAGGCAGCATCGGCCCGCTGCCGAGCGGCCTCAGCGTCGCTGGCGCCTCCATCTGCATGGACGTCGACAGGCGGCTGCTGCAGTGGCTCAGCAGCGGCAGGCTCAGCGTCTGGGGCGGTGGCAGCGGGCTCTCCGCTCTCGCGCATGACGCAGTCGCCATCAGCAGGAG